TCAAATGAAAGTCTTTTAGGGCACAGACTCAGGGAGTAGGATGGTAGAAAGAAAATGTTTTATTCTCCAGAGCAGCTTGTGAGAAAACTAGTAAATTAATTGCCATTATTTCTTGTCACTAAAAGATGAGTTCTTAAATAGATAGTAAGGATAAGCAGGCCTCCAACAAACTGTCTTTTCTTTTTTTGGTCAAATGGATCAGAATTGTCCTCATCATAAATTATAGCTGTGTGACACCTGCAGGAACTCCTAAGAAATAAAAACACCAACTGAGAAGAAAGAACCAAAATATCAACACTGAACCAGAATGCCTCTGACCAACCATAAAAGAGAACCATTAAATGGCCAATAAATGTGTAGTGCTAGTTGTAATTATTGTATATTTTCAAATAACATTAAAAAAAATCTCTAAGTACTTTTCGTACTTTAATACTACACTTGTTATGATTGCTGAACTCTCCTTCAAAAAGATGATCTGATTATGTTTGATTTCTCTCCCAAGGGACCAAAAAGGGAAGTTCTCAGCTTTTTATAGTATGAGGCCTCTAGAGGTTTTCACTTTGGGGATTTAAAAGTTTCCCGTCTCAACATGAAAAAAGACTAGAGGGGAACATAAGGAAATTATGATGGTTGGGACAGGAGAATTATGGCCAGTTTTTAAAACTCAGTTTTTTAAACTTCTTATAATTTTACCATTTACAGCTTAAAAATGAAAATTTTTAGAGGCAAGGGAATGGATTCATCAGTCTCTGATCTGGGAATGGAGTGGGAGGAAGGTAGAGCTTCCAGAGGAGAAAGCAGAGGCATTTCCTACAATCTTGTTTTGGTTGATGGTTAGTGATTAATGAGAGAAGCCGCTCTGCTTCTGTGCGAGTCTCGACTGCCTTGAAATCAAAAATGAAGAAAAGAAAATATATTCTAATTCAATGCATTCTCAGATGTTTCCTTTCCTTTCTTTCAATTGAAAAAAAAGAAGTCCCTGAGCAAACAGAAGAATCCTGATTTAGAAAACGAGCTCCCCAAGCCTCTCCACTCACCTATTCAGGAAGAAATAAAAGGGAAACTAACATCTACATTTCTCAGGTATCATTTCAAAACATTAGTGCCATGGGGGCAAATGTGTAAGCAAATAAAATCCCTTCTTCCCATGCTGTCGGAAGAGTATAACACGAGGCTAGTGTTTGGTTTTGATCTCAGCACTTTCTTGTACAGAAATGCTCCAAAAAGGTCCATCTACTCAAGAATTGATCTAAAAAGTTGGATTCTTTCCAGACCCCACCCCAGATGGCACTTTGTTGACCAGCTGCAGACCTTTCTATCAATACTGGAAAACAACTCCATTTGATCTCTGAAGCAGTGGCGATCCTGGTTCCAACTGGACTTCCTTAGCTGTTCGTTTATCCGGTCATTTTTCATTCATTCAGCAATGTTTATTAGTCATCTGCTATGTATGTGCCAGGCACTACACTAGGTGCTGCAAGCACAGATGCACACAATGCCTTGCCAACAGGAAACCCTACAGTTCGAGTAAGTGTTAGGGAAGGGGTTGCAGAAGTACTATGGGAGTACAAAAGGGAGAATAACTCCAGCTGGTAAGGGAAGGGATAGGACTGAGGGAGAAGAAAGGTAAGAAGGGAGTTGGATGGAAGGGGCTTTTGGTTGAGCCTTGAAAAGGCGGGTGGAAGTTGGCCTCTTTGATCAAGTAGACTAGGGACTAGCCATTCAGAAGAAAGAGCTTGCATTAAAGATGTCAAGGCAGATGGTTGGCTCCTTTTGGAACCAACACATAAGAATGGCTAGAGCCACGTGTATGGGATTGTGGGAGGCTTACGGCAGGAAGCGGACTGTCCATGAGAGGTCTAGTGCACCATGCTGAGGGCTTGGGTTCCAGTTTGATGCCATGAAGAGCCATTGCAGGATAAGCAGTGGAGCCACGTGATCCGATTCACATAGGACTGACTAACCCAGAAATAATGGAAAGTTTATCAAACGTGTGTCTTTTGGACTTCATTTTTTCAAATGATGAAAGTGATGTCAGACAAAGTGACTTTCTTGGCAATATGATCAGTTAGGGATTTACTTTGTTTCAGCTGACTAAATGTCAGGCTCACAATAGGCATTCAGTGCCTATTTGTCGAATGAATAAGTGAGAAAATGAAGAGTTAAGCCTTTCTGTGGGATGGTCGTTTGCACAATGGAGATGTATCTGAATTTTTAAAAATTCAAACCCAGATTTACAAATGAGTCTGGTCATCTTGGGAAGGTTAGAGTTGCAGGTGGCAGTGCTGGCTGCTGCTTTCAATTTGGTCTCGTAGCTGTGGTTTAACCAGTCTTTGAGGTACAGTTCCTGGTTCCTGATGTCGGACAGGCCTGCGTTCCAGCACGTTACTGGACTGCTGTTGGTGTCGGTGTGTGTTAGTGCATCCTGAAAAGGCCTCCTCTGTTCACCTTGCTTGAGATTGCCCCCCTTTACTTACCACATGGCAAGTATTTAGGTGCTTCAAGATCGACTGCCTCCTGAATCTATCTGGACGTTCGCTGCCTCACTCAGCAGCTTTCAAACTCTGATGGGCCTCAGAATCACCAAGGGAGCCTGATAAATGCAGATCTCAGGCTTTGCCCCAAGAGTTTGATTTAGGAGACGGGTCTAAGGGATTGGCAGTTTTAAAAGGATCTAGGTGATTCTGATGTGGGAATGACACTTCTCCCATTCCTGCCCGTTGAAGCTATACCTAATTTTCCAAGCTTTTCCTGCTTTTTCCTGAACTCCTACAGTATTTTTGGCACTTATTGTCTGCTTTCTTGTCTTGTGAATCCTTTCGAATTGTAAGACTTCCTGATCCTTCAAGCAAACCCAGTTGGGCACCCTTATCACATCCCTGAGACTTGTGTCAAGCCCCGAGTGAGTTCCTGAATACAGATACTGAAATATTTGGAATTCAAGTTTTGTTTATTTTGTAGTGAGAAGAAAGAGGCCAAGCATCTCAGAATTCTTTAGCACACCTGATATTAGCGAGAACTTTGGGGAATGAAGGTAACCTTTGCAACCCTAATAGAAAAAAAAAAATCTTGTTTAAATTACCCTTACCTTGGCAATCAGGCTGTGAAAAGTAAGTAGTTTGTCCTTGTGCATTTACTCTGGTATAAGCCAGAGACAGCCAGTGTTCATTGGAGAGGTTGATTTAAACCCTTCAAGAGCCTTGTCTTTCCTAAAGCATTGTATGAATATCTTCCAGGTTTATTGGTTGGTTTCATTCTCAGACTTTGTGCCATTGAGGTTATTTAAGGTGAGGTTCTCATCTAGCAGTTCACTTAGGGGTCATTTGTGCTAAAATTGAGATTGAGTTACTCACCAAAGTACTTCTTCACTTAGGTTTTATTGTTTCAGTTTCCCTTCTTTTTTAAACCAAATAGTATTGGCTATCCATATTAAATCAGATTTTTGTCATCTTATACTCTCCTTTATGTAACAGGCCAGCTGTTGCAGATAGAGAGCTGGTAAATATAATGTTAAGATGATATTGAAGTTTTTCCCTTGCTCACAAGTGAACTAGACTATATTCTGTACAAATCTATGATTATTCTAGCTTTAAAAGCAGTAACAGCTACCTAAAATAATTCCCTAGAAGGAAACCTAAAGAGCCAAGTTTAATAGCTCACTCACTCCTCAGAAAAAGCTCTTGCTTGCTTAACATGAAAGTGTTATCTTTGTAGAATTGACTCCAGATGTCCTGAGAATTGATATTATTGGGGAATGAAAGGTTCTGGTTAGTGAAATGGTTCTGGAGGGAGAAGACCAGGTGGACTGTACTTGTCCACATGGCAAACTCAGAATCCTTCTTCAGAACTCTATTCAGAAGTCAGCCCTAAAACCCTACATCTGTAAAGTTTTACTTGATCCTTGGAAAAGTTAACCATTTCTTCTTTTATTCCATATCCATAATACCTGATCATATATGTCACAGCCTAGTGTAGTTATTTGTTTGCATGTTGTCTTCTCCACTAAATCAAAATCCCACTGGGTGTAGAGAGAGTGATCTATCTGTAAAGTCTATCCACCTGGTTAAATGCCTGGATAAAGTAGTACTAAATAAGTATGTGGTATGAATGAATGAATGAATGAGGATTCTGAATTTGAAGCATCGCCTTGTCATGACGAATTTCCCTAAAATATTGTTATAAGAATAAATGGTGAAAAAGACAAGTTCAGTATCTGCTTCTCCCTGGATTGCTCATGGCAACTGAGTGTTCCCAGCCTGTGGGACCCCTGATTTAAGGAACTAGATCAGAAGTTCTGCAGATTAGTGCTGTTAAATTCCTTTCCTGGGCTCATGAATTCCACAGAAGGCCTACTCTCTGCCCTTCCTTTTCCAGATCACACCAACAGTGGCAGAGTTAGGGCTTAGAAGTTTTCCTTGGGGTATAATCTGGCTGGCATGTGGTTCCCAGTTTTCCTGACAAGACTCGTTGAGCACCGAGGACACTCACTGCAAAGGAGCTGTGTTCCATCAGCGTTCGAATAAAAGATTCAGGATATCTTACTTAGAAAACAATCTCCCTCCTGAGTTATATGTTTTATTGCTGTTACTTTTTTCCACTTTCCTTGCACTGAGAGTTTCGGCACCCTCTCTGTCAACCACCAGCTACAATCTGAGTTTGTGTGATTGTGTGAATTAGCAAGATCGTCTTTATAAAGCACTAGGAACTCAGAGCAAAGTATATAAATACTTTGGAAAAATAAGATCTACGTAGCCTAATGAGTCTTCAGTTTTTAAAAATCACATTCAAAAATAGTAAGTTAAATATTTGTGCTTAAATTGAAAGGGTTTTGGCTGGCAGTTAACTAGGAGCATTTTAAGCACAGAAGTGTTAGTCATATGAACGTTAGTCATCATGAACCATTAATCAGGTGGGAAAAGCAGCGTCATTTGTTTCCTTTTGTCATTCATTTGTCATCTTAAAAGACGACTTACTTTTCTACCTTTTCCTTCCCTTTAAAGGCAGAAACCTGTGGGTTCTTGTTGTGGGGCGGTCACCAAAGGAACACAGAATTGGGATTCCAGAGTTCAAATATGTGGCAAATATGCATGGAGATGAGGTATGTATGTGACTTGAATATCTGAAATGTCACCAAAGTTCCCCTCAGGCCTCTCAAGTTCTGTATAAATGCCAGGGAGGCAGCACAAATTATAGTAAAGACTCTGGAAAGGTCTTCCTGTTAGGCCTTCTGAGAGAATTTGAGGAACCAGGGCCCAGCCACTACTGCAGCCATTTGGTTATTTACCCAGTGCCCTGCTAGGGCAACCTGAGCTTGTTTCGTGTTGGGGCTAGAAGAACAACAGTGCCAGCTGAACTCCTTCTGGGTTGATTTTTTTTCCCCTCCTGGTCAGCATCAAGGTGACCCAGCAAAGTAGCTTATAGCCTATTTGAACTCAAAACAATCAGAAGTAGCAATCCAAACTCCTAATGTCTGGCTCTTTGAATGCTTTTGTCGCTTGCTCTTAATCAAATACTCAGTGTTTACAATGCTCAAGTTTAGAGAACCAGTCTTAAGGTTCTATTTTAATTAATGTCACTCCAATAAATTTAATTTAAAAAAGTTTTATAGAAATAAAACTTAGGGTTCTTTCATACCGATCGTTCTGCAAACACTCTTTAATTCCATGTCCTGCCTCTTTTCCAACTTAGCAGGGTTCTACTTTGTCTTGTTTTATATTATTTATTTCAAACTTTGCAAAATGCCCTTTTACCACTTCTTCCTGCCCAGCTGTTCTTGCAGGGCATTCGAAGATGCTTACCTCTATTTCTCACCTTACTTCTTCAGAGTATTTTAAAACTGTGACAACTGCACTATTTTCTATTCACCAGGACTCCACACAACTAGGCAATCAAGTGTAAGGGCAAAATAGCTCCCAGTCATCACAGCAGAGACTATTTATGTAGAAATAATGTGTAACACCCTATAAAACACACAACTCTAAGAATGTCAAAGTAAATGTATATTCCTGTAAGTACAACTAGCTGGCTTGTTAAAACACTTCTGAATTCGCAGCAGTGTGGGTGTCATGCTCTAATCAAATGCTGAACTTCCCGTCCTAGCCTAACCCTCCCCAAACCTAGGCTCTATAGAACAGGATCCACCCCTCATGACACACACAGCCTGCCCTTTCCAGGCACGCTGCCCAACCTGTCCTGCCCTGTGAGCGTACTTCTTGCAGCTGGAGCTAAGATACAAACACCTGCCTATAAGAAAGGGGTTGATCTTTGAACCTCATTTGTGGGTGGGAGTTCAATTGCCCTGTGACTTTTTTGAGCATGATTAGGCTGTGCTTTAAAAAACTTAATATTGCAGGAAGCCTGACTAAAGTTGTTTATAATAAAACAACCATTCATTACAGACAGCAGCCCAGACTTCCTTTCCCTTTTGCTATCTAGCCTATCAATTAAGGTCCTGTGGAATCCCTTTTTAGTAAAAGACATACAGCACTCATTGATTTTAGCAATTTATTTATCGAATTCCTGGCATTTCAGAAGTTGCAGCCTGCTGCTCAGAAATTAATTCTCAGAACGGAAACTTCCAAAGATAAGCAAGTGTCCTTTCTCTCATTTACCTCCGAATTTGCTTATTCCTTCCATGCACTTTCCCAAATTTCTGCTATCATCTTGCTCTCTGGGTTGTTAATGTAGCCCATCGAATCAGTGCTCTGTGATTCTTTGAGGAATGCTAAGGACTGAGAGTAGGCAGGGGGTTAAGTCCCAGTGTGTTTTGGGGTGGGGACCTGAAGTCCTATGACCTCCTGTCCCAGCTAGGGTTGCTATGGGCCATTGAGAAACTTATTATCCTGAATTTGAGATCTTATAAATTCTGTTTTCCTGGTACCATTAGGAGCTGAGGAAAGTGATGGTTTAATCCAGCAACAGAGAAATCGCTCCGGGTAGAGGGTCATCCTTCCTCTCTCAGATCTTCTGGAATTGAAAGAGCATTTTCAAGAACCCACTATGAAAGGGTGGCATAGCAAACATTTTAGGGCAGTGGTTCTTAACCTCCTTTGGATGGACCCCTTGCTATTCTGGCACAAACTCTGAATGCTGACCTCAGGGTCTATGGCTCTTCTAGGGGTTGCGGGCCTCATGTGGAGAATCCCAGTGGGAGGCACATGGCAGGGGGAACAGAATGGACTACATTATTAGAAAATGTTTCCTCTTTTCCTTGGACCCCACCCGTGTGTGTGTGTGTGTGTGTGTGTGTGTGTGTGTGTTCCATACTTAATGCCATGGCTAGATGACAGTAGCATCAGCGATATCAAGAAGACTCAATTCTGTTGATCATACCTGCATTTTCCCCCCATGAATTTTTACCTTACCTAATTATAGCTTGTTTTAAAATTGGGTCTTTTTTTTTTTTTAATTAAAAATAATCTGTTATTACAAAATCAGCATATGCACATTCAGAAGAAAAAAAGATAAACAAGAAACACTGAACTACTGTCCTTTCAAAGATTAGGACTGTTAATTCCTTATTATTTATCCTTCTAGATATTTGCATGTATGTGCCTGCAGTTTTACCAAATGAACTATGCTAATTTGCTATTTGTAATATTTTTAAAGTTAATAATAGCTCTCCTCTCCTGTCAATAAATCTTTATCCTATCTTTACCTTATATCCCACTTTCTAGTTCCTCTAATTATCCTCAAAATGTCCCCAAAATTGCCCAAGTCAGGATCCAGTCCAGGACCATAGATCATATTTGGTTAATATATCCCTTGAATCTCTTTTAATCTAGCATTTAAAGACTCATTTCATGACACTAGACTTAATAAAGACCCAATCAGTTTGTCTGTCTTGCAGAATGTCCCATACTCTGGATATTTTGTTTCCTTCCTTATTGTTTCATTGAACCTGTGCCTCTGGTCCCTCTGTTTAGGAAGTTAGATCTAAAGGTTTATTGGATTTAGGTGAAATGTTTTTGGCTAACATATATCTTAGGAATTGTGTAGATGAGTTAATTTGGTTGATGCTGAAGGTTCAAGTTAATTAGTCTGACTATACTTTGGAATGCTAAAAAGCACACTGCAGGTAGCAAAATCAACTTAAAATGGCCCATTTACAAGCAAGTATTGTTACAAAAGAAGTGCAGTTAAATCTACTCTCGTATGATATTTTTCATATTATCTTGTCACCTTGCTGTTGGCTCACATCCATTAGATGACACCAGCTTGCTGTGCCACATTGATCAGGCTGGCAAGTTACCTTCTACACAGTGCATTACAAGAAAATAACTCTACCCAACACTTATTGAACACAGACTACACCAAGCGCTTTGTAGGCATCGTTTCTTTTGACCACTT